ATTTGGTTCAGTTCTATTCTATTCTATTCTAGTCCATTCTATTCTATTTGTTCTATTCTATTTGGTTCAGTTCTATTCTATTCTATTCTAGTCCATTCTATTCTATTTGTTCTATTCTATTTGGTTCAGTTCAGTTCTATTCCATTCTAGTCCATTCTATTCTATTTGTTCTATTCTATTTGGTTCAGTTCTATTCCATTCTAGTCCATTCTATTCTATTTGTTCTATTCTATTTGGTTCAGTTCTATGCTATTCTATTCTAGTCCATTCTATTCTATTTGGTTCAGTTCTATTCTATTCTATTCTATTCTATTTGTTCTATTCTATTTGGTTCAGTTCTATGCTATTCTATTCTAGTCCATTCTATTCTATTTGGTTCAGTTCTATTCTATTCTGTTCTATTTGTTCTATTCTATTTGGTTCAGTTCTATTCCATTCTAGTCCATTCTATTCTATTTGTTCTATTCTATTTGGTTCAGTTCTATTCTTGGGTACAAACACCTTTCAACACTTGCATTCTTGCAGCTAAAGGAGATTCTGGAAACTATTCACTCAGAGGAGATGAATAAAAAAAATCCCTCCACACTTAAAGATTTATAGTTGTTGATGTTTTTCCTATAAATCAATCACCTCAATTCTTTATTTTATAATCCCAACAGCGTCAGTGAAAACTGTTTTCTGTTATTTCTCTTTGCAGAAATTGGGTTTTAATAGAAAGATATTTGGATCTTCCTGACTTCTTAGCAATGACCCCCCCCACACACACACACACCATTAACTGCTGACTGTCTGTTATTCTGATGACAGTGTGTGTAACATCCTGCAGTTTAGTTCTTTGTCAGATAAATAGAGATCATGAACCATCGTCTATAACTGGTGAATTATTATCTATGATCATGGGCGGCTAGACTGGGGGGCAAGAGGGGCCGCTGGTCCTGGGCCCTGTTAAGGGGCCCTTGAACTGATAATATGCAGAGCACAAATTAAAATAAAAGTAGGACAATTTTTCCTGAAATTAGTTTATTTTCCTCTGATTTAAGGATGTAAGACCATTTGCAGATAGAAAATGATGACTTATGTTTAAAATAAGGAGAAAAACTAAAACTCCATTATATAAGTGCATAATATCTAATGATCTTATTTTAAGTTCAGATAATCATTTATATGGCAATTTTACTTTTTTTTACCTGCTCAAATTAAGGGGACATGAATTTCTTTTAAGGATATGTGAAGGGTTTTAATCAGTGCAGTACTGGTAGCTCCGCTAGGGGCGCTGTGCTGCGCCTGTAAATCAGCCTCTCCAGTTTTTTTTAAATCTATATTTTCATTTCAGACGGAAGTTAAGTTATTTTGCGCCTCTCCTCCTGCAGCCTCTGCATCACAAACCTGCTGCTCCTTCATCTCCTCCCGGCTTCATTCATTCAGGATCTCATCCTTTGATGTTTTTCCCTCTTTGGACTCTGGATTAAAAACAGTTTAATTCTAATTTATTTTTCCTCAAACCGTCAATGATGCAGCGTCGCTGTCGCTCAGGAAGGAGAAGCTGCTGCGCTTAGAATAAAGAGCCGCAGATCTGCAGCTTCAGGGAGGAGAAGGTGAGCCCAGCTGCTGGAAACTGACCGGAGAAACAAAGCAGAGAAATAGTTTTAAAGTCAGGTGATCACTCTTCCTCTTTTTGTTTCTTTCTGTTTCTCCTGCGTTTGAAACTTAAACCAAACCAAAGAAACATTTACTGCGACATTTCACGCATAAAGCCTTTGAAACTCTTTTGGTTCCTAAATTTAACTCTTGATTTATTTCTCAATAGTTCCTAATAACCTAAAAACCAAACAGGATTAAAAATATATTTAAAAAAATTCCCCCCAACTCTCTGGATTTATGTTTAATCTTAACTTTTTAAAACTTTCTGTGATCATATCTCCCTTTGCATGTTTGCATGCTGCTTCACTGCATGCAACACTTTAGGGACGTTCTGTAAGAAAAGCTTCACTCATGAGAAAAGAAAAAAGCAAACAGGTCAGAGCGAAACGTTTATTGAAGTTATTTAGTGGTTTCTGTCTGAAGCAGCTGCAGCAGGGACGGTTTTCTCTGCAGCCTGATGGTGGAGAGAGGAAGTGGCTGCTCACAATCAGCAACAATCAAACACTTTGACTCAGTCCCATCTCCTCCAGCATGCAAATAGCTTCAATGGTTCCCATTTTCCAGCTGCAGTTTTCTCATATTTTATCTGGATTGTAGTTTTTTATTAGACGCTCAGTCAGTAGAAACAAGAAGTTCAGGCAGTTGGCACACATGGCTGAAAAAGGGGAACTTGTTTGAATGTTTGCTTTAAACATTCAGTTGCAGAGTAATGTTGCAAAAAAGGAAAAATTTTCTCTTAATGTGTTTTTAACTTAATTACTTCTCCTTTTTTCTGGCATTTGTGTTGCATATTTGGTGTAAAATTAACCAACTTGTCATTTCTGAGGCTTTACTGATTTAAGATTATCAGGTTTTAAAGTTTTCATTGAGGTTCTGCTAAGTTTACCTTGGTTTTGTAATCCGTCTCTGTAAACAGACGTGCAGCTCGGTTCCCTAAAGTTTCCCAATAAACAGCCACTTAGAAAACTCTGCTGGACTTTATATAAACTCAGACCAATGATAGTCGGCTCACCTGATCGTTTATCGCCTGGTTTTATTTTATTTTTATCAGCTGAAATCCTCACAGAATCAGGGACAGCATCACTTTTAAGTATAACTCATTTGCAGGCATGAGATCTACAATATTAAATGTTAAAATAAGGGTTTAATTTGATCTTTTTGTTTTTATTCAAAACACTAAAGCAACCTTTAAACACTCTGTGACTTACAATTAGAAACAAATGTTTTATAAATAAATATAAGTAAAATTTTTGATGTAAAATATAAAGATTATCATTTTGATTTTTGTTTTTAAGGGTTTATTTTAAATGTTTAAATGTAGCCCGATCTATTTCCTCGGTCAGTCTGGCTGCTCTATCCAGCCTGCAGGCTGTTCCCTTATCTGTTAATTTGCTAAATGTAGTTTTCAGGTTAACTTTAAAAAGGTTGATTAATGGAGCTCTGTTAGTTTGCATCCTATAAATGTCCATGTTTACAGACGATATTGTCTTCTTTGTATGGGGGAAAGAATCCCCTTCTTTCAGCCAGCTGACCAGCAGCTCACAGCAAAAAAGGGATTATAACCCCCCAGGGAGGCTCTTGTCATTCTAGTTTTTTCTCTGGCAACTCATCGTACTTTAATGATAAACACATATAAGTTTGCTGTACAAACTTTCATGTTTCTTCTTTTAAAAAAGATCAGCAGAATATCAGGAAAACTGTTATCGATCATGAAGCGACCACATCTTCCCTCCTCTCTCTGATTACCATCATCACAGCCCCATCATCCAGCATCTTAGTCACTAAGATCTACGTAAAGTGATGGCATAAAGAGCAGCAGTTAGCATGCAGATTAAATGCATGAAGTTTTAAACTCTAAACTAATCTAATTCTGCATCCATGTGATGTTTGTGCTACTGCAGAAATTCTTATAAATCAGTATATTTTGCACCTTTGAGTTTGAGAAGAGTCTGCTGAGTCTTTGGTTTTTGTTATGGAAGAAATGGTTTCTCGTGTTGTTTTGAATGCAGAGATATTGAATATGTAGGAGAAAGAGAAACGCAGATGGAGCAAGTTTTTATGCAAACAGTTGAACTGCTGGTAAAGCTGCTTTTAGAATCAGATATTCATGCTTGTGGTTAAATGTTCCTGTTAAGATTCCAGACAAGCCAAACTGAACGTCTCATTTTAATGTTTAAAAGAAGTCATCATATTCAACAGCTAATTTCACTATATTAAATTTAAATGGTTAAATTTACTCTGTTCCTCCACCGACTATAGAGAAAAAACAGATTTCTTCAATGTCCAGTCCAGAATCCAAATGATTAAGAAATATATATGTGATTTATTTTTATTTTCTTTGCTGCTCCGTAAATATGAGCATGTAATATTTTAATTAAAACTCAACAATACGTTTTTTGTAGGAAAAGGATGTAAAAAAAAAAATAAATAAAAATATCTACGGTAGAGCCAGAACATAAAAAAAACATTTGTTCTTTATTTTTTTATAAAAAAAAAAAAAAACATTAGACACTTTTTTTAGTTTTAGGAATAAAATTTGTGTTTTGCCAAGTTTAATAAGTGAAGACATTAAAAGGACTGTTAAAAAAAACTGCTTAGATTTTCTGTTATAACTGTGTCGTAATAAAACTAAAAGGTCTCCATTTGCACCGATAAGCTGTGATGAGGAGGCAAATCATTCTTGATTTGCAGTTGGGGGGGTTCGAAAACACAAGTAAAGGGCCCCAATATGACCCCTGCTTTGCTCAATCCTCCTAATGAAGAATCAGATTAATCTACTTTTTAAAGTACTTCTAAAGTCCAAAACTAACTAATTTCCAATTAGGATCAATTCTCATGTTAATTCCAAAACATCAAATCATAGATTAGAATAACCAAAGATCGCTAAAAGGAAAAAAAATCATTTCCCACTGTCCTTTCAGCCAAAATTTACCATTACTTTATTCATTCGCTGTTCAATTTTTTATTTAATACTAACATCAATATGTTGCATAACTGCACAGTCATGTCATTTAGGTAACAGCAGTTTTTTTTTTCTGATGCATGTCTCGCTCCGCCTACTGTAGCTCCACTCACGGAGCTAGGCGGAGCGAGACATGCATCTGGCTGTTGTCAGGTTAGTCCTGTCCAGCAGTGTGGCAATAAGAATAATTGTCTTGATGCCAAAAAAGAACCCAACAGATTTTACTTTCACACGTGGAGCAGTACGTCTATCGCTTTGATTTATTAATATAAATAGCTTTATTATAATTCATGCAGGGAGTATTACAGATTATATGGATACTGTAATGTAAGAAGAACAGGAAAAAGGAGAAAAGATGAAAGAAAGAGAATATAAAAGGGAGACAATGATAAAAAGAAACATTTTATCAAAATGTATTTTTTTTAAATACCAGCAATAGACTTTGATATCAGATCTGATCGGAAACAATTAATTCTAAGAGTTGGAATTAAATAAATGTTTGTAATTTCTATGGTTCCCTAACCCTAATTTTACTAAAAGGCTTCAGCCAGGGTGCAGAATGATGGTGCGCAGTGCAGGCGGCCATTAAAGCAGATAGATACGCATTAGAGAGAAAAACTCACTGCAGTGAAACTTCATGCAACGCTGCATGCAACGCTGCATGCAACGCTGCATGCAACGCTGCATCGCTGCATGCAACGCTGCATGCAACGCTGCATGCAACGCTGCATGCAACGCTGCATGCAACGCTTGTAGCTGAATCAGACAGATACACCCTTACAGAACAGCCTGTTGCAAAATCAGATGACGTATCCATTTCCTCGCAGCATTTCACCTTCATGTTTTCATAGATATTGCAGGAATTCTTCACTTTTTGATCTTTCAGTTAAACTGATAAAAAATGATGACTGGACCATTAAAGGTCGACTGAAACGTTCAAGGAAAAGAATCAGATGAAAAATCTAAGATAAGAATAAATTCAGAAACTAAACTAAAACATTAGAAAGAAGGTTTGTTATTAAATAATATTCAGTTGGACCACCAAGGGGAGAGGTAATGATCTACCAACCTGAAAGCTGTGGGTTTCATTCCAGCAAAGTACTTCCAGGTATCTAAAAGCCCTTGGGCAAGGCATTTAACCCAAAGTTACCTGCTTATCCGTGCATCAATGTGCATGTTTGTGATTGGGTGAATGTGGCTTCTGTTTAAAGCTTATAATTTACTCCATTTATCATCTATATGTCAATAAAACTCACCAACTAAAGCAGGATGTATTCTGAGTTAAAATATGAACAAGATCAGAGTCTGTAGCTACAGAGCGGGCAAATCAACCCAGTTTGTGTTCAGCTGAAATGCCGACTGTTGATTTAATTGTGGCTGAAACACAAACTGTCTGAGGAGCCAAAAGGCTCTGGGGAAAATGTCACCAGCAGGTAGAAAGGTCACGTTTTTAGGACACCATAAGAAACCTGCACCACAACAAAGATGTAAGAAATCTGCTGATGTTATGAGAAAATAAGATTATAGACATTAAAAAGTCATCAAACATAAACTCACTAATGGGAAGAAGCATTTATAGCAAATAGGACAAAGAGTGATGGTTGCTGGAGGTGGGAGTAAGTTCAAGTTTGGGTGTTTGGTATGTAGCTGCAGGGGGGGGGGAATTTAAATGGTGCTGAAGCTGGATGAGTTTGATGCACAGCAGCAGGCAGAGGGAGGGGCTTTAAAGTGAGGAGTGGGGGCTTAGTGGTTTAGGGCAAAGAGCTTGGAACCCTGAGGTTCTGAGTTTGACACCCACTCCCACAGACTGCCTCTCTGAGCAAGACCCTTAACCCCCAATTGCTCCCTGGGTGCCCCACAATGGCAGCCCACTGCTCCCCAAGGGGATGGGTTTAATGCAGAGGAAACTTTCTCCAATGTGAGATCAATAAAGTTCAATTAGTATTATTATTGTTATTATTATAAATGCAGCTAAGCGGAAAAGAGCTTTAAATCCTGCTGAATGAAGGCGTTTAGGATGAAGCCTTTTAGTTTTCAGCTGCAGGGCAGATGG